TAAATATTTTTTAAAATACTAAACACATTAAAGACAGGAAAACTTTTAAGGAAGGGAACATAAATGAAGTATTCTTCGTAGTCACATCTAGAATATGAGACAGCTGCAGGAAATTATTGACTGGCCTACTTATGTACAGATTTTACTTAGGCAAATTCAAGCATAAGTGAAACGGAAGAGAAAAATTTTATCTCATTAACTTCCCCTTCCCTCTTCTGTCTGCTTCAAAATAGACCTAGATCCTCAGTGACTCTAAGAAAAAAGGCCCATATCAGAAATGCAATAACAATAATTATTAACAATGACACATTATTATTATTTATTATTATTATTGTTAGTTGGGATAAAAAGTTTGTGTCAGTTGCTATAAACAATAGCTGATGATAAGGTAAATAAGATTTTATTGGTTCGCTCACTGTTGCCAATCGATAAGGAAAAACTTATGAAGTCTTTCATAATGTCCTAAATACTTTTAGAGAATTTTTCAGATAAAAACTAGAGCTTCGCTAGCTGGTCATGGTGGCACACACCTGCAGTCTTAGCTACTCAGGGGGCTGAGGCAGGAGGATTGCTTGAACCCAGGAGACAGAGGCTGCAGTGAGCTATGATCATGGCACTGCACTCCAGCCTAGGTGACAGAGCAAGACTCCTTGCTGGATATGACTCCTTAGGATGAGGCTAAAGCAGTTGGTTATAAACTAAAGATTCCCAAGCAATTGGATATAAACTAAAAATGGAAAAGGAAAGAAGTTCTAGGATTGAGCCCAGAAAATCCCTATGTAAAGCTATCAGGAAAAAATAAACCAAGGCATTTCTTTTTCTTTTTAGCGGAGCAACTCAGACTCCAGGCAATTTTTCGACTAACTATCCTTAAGAGGGTTACCAGAAAATTTGTGTATTTATTATTGGAAAAGTAGTTAACTGTATATATTATAAAACTATAGAATCCTGAGGCTAAAATAGACCTTAACCTAAAGGATGATAAAATTCAACCTGTTGGTTCTTCAACAACAAATACTTTGAACTTAAAAAAACTACCTTACTGGGTCATTCACCCAATTTCAATTTACGGATTTAATTTCAGCCAAATTATAGGAAATTATTGAAAAATAAACCTCCAGTATACGTAGGTAGCTTAGAGTACATATGGACTTGTTCAGACAAAGGAGGATCTAGTTCTAACTCAGGGATTTGGGCAGGGGGACCACTTTAATTCCACAAGTGTTTATTGAGTGTCTATTACATGTAAGGCACTTGATAGGGTACTTCGAGAAATACAAATGTGAATAAGACCCTGTCCTGTTCTTCAGAAAGACTAAAACAGGAAAAAGGGGGGAATAACATAAGCAAAATGTGATTAAGTGCCATGGAGAAGCAGAGAGGTCATGGAGGTTCAAGCTGAAGTGTGAAATAACTGCAACTAGGGACTCAAAAAAGCCCCTAGGTGTCACCCTCCGCTTCCTGACTTGTCTTCTTTCTCACTGCAAATCTGCTTTCCCCACAGGGTGGCCAACAAGGCTAGCAACTCCCAGTTCTCACATTTCAGACTTTCTGCCACAAGAAAGAGTGCCCAATGCTCCCCCCCCCCAAGTACAAAATGCTGAAAAGAGCTCCCAGGGGCCCAGTCAGCCTCTGGACTAACTGATGACAGGAAAGAGGATCTGACCGTGTAAGAAGAACCTGGTAAATCGTGTGGGAACCCTGTGATTGGTGGTGGGTTGGGGTGGGAGGTAGATCAGTTAGTTAATTAGCAGCGCAATGTTCTCTAACGAAAGGCCCCAACTGGTGGTTTAACACAGCTGTCATTCATTTTCAAGCATTTGCCGGTTGGCTAGGGCGGCTCTGCCAGGCAGTGATGACTAGAGTGGCTGTATTCCACTCTAGTGGAATAGTGGGTTTTCCAGACCCAAGTCACACTCCTCCTGGGCCCATAAGCTAAGCAGAAAACACCAGAGCCTCTGAAGTTTAGGCTCAGAGTCATCCTAACACTGCTGCTCCCGCCTGACCAAGCCATTGGAAAAAGAAAGTCACATGACTGGACACTAAGTCAAAGGGGAAGAAATACCTTCTGCACACAGTGAAGCTACTGTCAGAGTGGGAGGCAGGGAAGTGCGTAGGGTGGCACCAATCATTTAATCTACCATATGGGGTTAATGTGAGAAACAGTTCTCAGAAGATAGGATGTTGGGTAAACAAGGCAATAGGTAACCACTATAGTATCATTACATTGGATAGAAACACAGCAAAACGAAGTAGCTAGTAGATTTTGTCAGTTCCAAAATGCTAGAGAGCAATACGAAGGGAACTCGTTAGCCACTACAATTTTTTTTTTTTTTTTTGAGACAGAGTCTACTCTGCTGCCAGGCTGCACGTCTACTCTGCTGCCAGGCTGCACTGCAGTGCCATGATCTTGGCTCACTGCAACCTCTGCCTCCCAGGTTCAAATAATTCTCTTGCCTCAGCCTCCCAAGTAGCTGGGATTGCTGGCATGTGCCAGACACCACACCCAGCTAATTTTGTGTTTATTGTTAATAGAGATGGGGATTCTCCATGTTGATCAGACTGCTCTCGAACTCTCAACCTCAGGTGATCCACCACGTTGGCCTCCCAAAGTGTTGGGATTACAGGTGTGAGCCACCATGCCCAGCCCCTTACAATGTTTTGAGGACTCTACTAGTAATTTTATGTCTATCATCTCAAAGAAGCAATAAAGACTGTTATTCACTTGAAACAATACCATCTTTGCTCTTAAACTCTCTTAATTAGGTTTTAAAGAAAGTGTCTTTCCAGATGCCATTTAGTACCATTTTTTCTAATTGCTACTTCTTTTAATTTTTAATATTCATTCATTTATTTTGTATAGACAGGGTCTGACTATTGTTGCCCAGGCTGATCTTGAACTCCCAGCCTCAAGTGATCCTCCTGCCTCCCAAAACACTGGGATTACAAGCATGAGCCACCACACCCAGCCCCACTGCTGCTTCTTTTAAGAGTAGTTTGGCTGGGTGCAATGGCGCACACCTGTAATCTTAGCACTTTGGGAGGTCGGGGCAGGCAGATCGCTTGAGGTCAAGAGTTGGAGACCAACCTGGCTACCACGGTGAAATCTCATCTCTACTAAAACTACAAAAATTAGCCGGGTGGGCTGGGCGTGGTTGCTCATGCCTGTAATCCAAGCAATTTGGAGGCCAAGGCGGGAGGATCACCTGAGGTTGGGAAGTTCAAGACCAGCCTGAGCAACATGGTGAAACCCTGTCTTTAAAAAGAAAAAAAAAGAAAAAAATTAGCTGGGTGTGGTGACAGGTGCCTGTAATCCCAGCTCCTTAGTAGGCGGAGGCAAGAGAATTGCTTGAACCTGGGAGGCGGAAGTTGCAGTGAACAAAGATGTTACCACTGCACTCCAGCCTGGGCGACAAGAGTGAGACTCCATCTCAAAAAAAAAAAAAAAGAGAGTGGTTCATGACTTACTTTCTAATCTTTTTATCGGTGAAACAAAGTCATCAGCATGGAACAAGGGGAAAGAGGAATATTTTGGAGCCAAGTACACTTGAGTTTAAAACCCTAGCTTGGCCATGTTGAATGACCTCAGGCAAATTACCAAAACAGAGAATTTTCTTCTCTGTAAAATGTGGGTAATAATATATACCAAATAGGGTTTAAAGATTAAATGAGAGTATGCCTACAAAATGTACAGCCCAATATCTGGCACATAGCTATTGAATAAGTGTTCGTTTCTTGGTTATGGGAATAACAAATGAAATAAGGCAAAGTTGCTACATTGAGTTCAATGCTTTGCTCTCTTTTCATGACTAATAATCTAATACCATTTCAGAATGGAAAAATTCCCAAATGAAATGGAGCACAAGTTTACAGAAAAAAATAAACGCAAAATGTTGAATGAAGTCTTTAGCACTATACTTAAGATCAAATCAAAATTCTATTGAAAAAAAAAAGCAGTTGTTCCTTTTGTCATTTCTCTCAGGAGAAGTTTCTGGCAATCTAACCATGAGAGTTTCCATTTCATGTTTCAGTAGTAGAGCTCGCGGGTAGTTTATTGCTAAGTTCTGTTAAAGTATCTTTTCTTTATTTTATTTTATTTTATTTTTATTTTTTTTAAAGACAGTGTTTCACCATGTTGGTCAGGCTGGTCTTGAACTCCCAACCTCAGGTGATCCGCCCGCCTTGGCCTCCAAAGTGCTTGGATTACAGGCGTGAGCCACCACACCCAGCCTCTGTTAAAGTATCTTAAACACTGTAGCACTTAACAAATTTTTCACCATTCAGTTTCTAGGCATGACTTAATTTTTTTAACTTGGGAGAGATATTAACTTTATAGTCAGTAGCTAACCATTTTTCTGTCAGAATGTTTCTTCTGTTTGCCTCATTTTCCTCACATTATTGGGAAATCAAAGTGTGATATTTGTAAACATGTTGTAAAAAGGCAATTTATAGTTCAAATTAGGTTGTCAAATTACTACTTTCTCACTTGACAAAGTAAATCTCAGATGATACATTTAATCAATTGGTCTTCATTAGACATCTTTATATTTTATACATTTTCAACTTGGTTATTGATTATAAGAGCCTTGTATTTCACTGAAATTTCCTTCTTTTTTTTTAGGCAGAGTATCACTGTTTTTCACTCTGAAGTGCAGTGGCAAGATCTCAACTGACTGCAGGCTCCACCTCCCAGATTCAAGCGATTCTCCTGCCTCAGGCTCCTGAATAGCTGGGATTACAGGTACACGCTACCACACCTAGCTAATTTCTGTATTTTTAGTAGACAGGGTTTCACTATGTTGGCCAGGCTGGTTTCGAACTCCTGACCTCAAGTGATCCACGCACCTAGGCCACCCAAAGTGCTGGAATTACAGGTGTGAGCCACTGTGCCTGGCTGGAAAAAGTATTTTCGTCATTCTAATGTGCTTGTATTTGCAACAGTCCAAAGTTTTTTTAATTGTAACTGACAGAAATTCAACTCAAACTCACTAAATTAAAAAATGGGAACTAATGGAAGAAGAATGAGGCCTGTTATGGAACTGATGGAATTCCTGTGGGAGCAGGTAACTTCAGGTATGTCCAGGAGAGAAACTTCAGACTTGACACAACCAGGACTCTCTTGTTTGCACCATCCATCTCTCATCTGCTGAAGTCTTCTGGGCCTCATTGTCTCCTCTAGGTGTTTGTCCCATGGAAGCCCAGGATTACAACCTTCTCACTTAAGAAAGAGTCCCTTCTGGCCAGGCATGGTGGCTCACGCCAGTAATCCAAGCACTTTGGAGGCCAAGGTGGGCGATCACCTGAGGA